ACATACGGACAACCAGAACGACAGACGGACAGACAGACAGACAGCCAGAAAGGTAGATGTGTGCGTAAACAGGCAGTACATTGTAAACAGTATCTACCATAGATTGCCCACTATATAACCAACGCTGGCTCAAGATTAAACGCACATACAAACAATCAGTGGAAGGCACGAGCGGTGAAACACATTCCTATACGCTCTCCGGCGCGGACTGCTACAATTATTATTATGTGCACGGTGTTCCACGGCCGTGTCAGCTCACGCTCAACAAATGACCTTCCTGCGGCGCGAGCCAGGCAACACGGAAGAGCCGGCGTTATAATCGAGCGATGATCTCACCGTAGTAGCGCCAGCGTTTGTCAGCTCGCCGAGTCGTCCCGTCACTATCATGGGCAATCTCATGGCAATCTATATGGGCAGGGACTCAGTAAGTTCGTCGGTTCTGCTTCGGTGATGGCCGACAACGTGCGGACGGACGGTTGCTGGCGGTCGACGTCAGTGTTATCAGAAGCGGAGATCGGACGCGGAACCGCATCGCGACGTCGCGCATTCACGGCGCATTCGTGACGACGTAACATAGCTACAGCGAATCTCACGGCTAACTGCGGCTGCATCACGTCGATACTAGGACGTGACGTTAGTGACCTTTCCCGTTAGCACGTCGGCTTGCCTATAGTTCGAAACGACATTCACATTAACTGCTACTAGAAGACGGATAGCGATGCGAGAAAGAGAGGTAGGGAATTTTACACTCGGTAACGGTGAGTTCTTTCAAAAGATTATCGCGCATTGTCAGTTGAGACCTGGCCAAATAGTATTGATAATAGAGTTTTCAGTTTAGTTAGGTCGATTACTCGTTAGTTTGCATGTAACCAAATATGTGATTTATGCTGACTTGTAAGTTGGCGTAGATAGATGCATGATTTTAAATATGTGGTAGTTGCATGGGTGAGTAGGCGCATGATTATTACATCTTTGCTGTTAGGTGAGTGAGCGCATGAGCGAGGACGGCATAATTTGCGTGTTGAGCAAAGATACTGGCCAGAGAGTCGAGAAAATGCCTACGAACACGTCGACGATGTGTGCGCTGGTTCTTTGTCTTTTGGACAACAACAACATTGGCAGCAGGCAACTATAGTAAGTGCGTAAATGAGTAGGGTAAATTATGCGATAATCAAACTATGCAAATTTTTTTTTAGCTAAATAGGAACGTAGTTGGAACATAATTGAAGCAGGTATAGCCAAGGAAACGGCAGACGAGAGAAACGGAAGAGAGCGGGACGAGCAAGACAGAAACACACACACACACACACACACACACACACACACACACACACACTACACACTACTACACTACTACTACACACACACACACACACACACACACACACACACACACACACACACACACACACACACACACACACACACACACACACACACACACACACACACACACACACACACAAATGCATACAATTTGTCAATTGGAACTTCCTCATGACTTTGTGCATGTGTGAATCCAAGCCATTGTTATGAATATTCAATATATGCGTAGTCGGAGTTTATGAAGTTACCCTAACACAACGAAGAAAAAGTCGAACGATCAAAGAAAAAAGATTGCCATAGCTCAAAAAACCAACAACTCAACACTCGACAAAAACCCCTTTCTTCAACTCGACCCTAGGTCCAACCTTTGACATAGTTTTTCAGCTAAATCTAACCTTTAAATTTTTCAGCATTTTCTAATTGGTATACACTTGAACGCTAAACACGAATTCTGAGAGGACCGAATAATATGAAATACCGAGAGCGGCAATCTAAAACCCATGCAAATTGGGGTTGGGGTTGGTATATTTTTTGCGGGATGCAAGGTGGTGCACCATCAATTTTCTATCCTGAAATTTCGATGATTAGGATGAGCCGTATAGTGTTACGAAAGTGAATTTAGTGAGACTTTCTTTTCTTTCGTAACCCAATAGTACATGTAGATCTATACCCCCGCAGTGTCTACCCAAGCGCACTGTTCAAATATATAATACTAAATGAGGTGTTTGCACCGTCACAGCATTTGCGAGCTGGTATTTTGAAATCCTAAAATCAACACGCAATCTTTGTAATTGCGATAACGGAACAAAGGAGGAGAGCAGCGGTGCGTGTCGTCACTCTGTATCTTTTCCCGGTCAACGACCATGCGGCTAGCGCAATTGTCGTCTGCATCGTGCGTTTTCCTCAAGCCTCGTCGATTCCGGGTTGCCGCTGTCGATTTCTCTGTTCGTGTAAGTCAGGCGTCACGTGCCCGAGCGAGTTTTCAGGTAGACTGCCGATCGGCGCCACGAGTATAATATATATCACGCATATTTCGCGTTAGGTGCAATCATCTCGACAGCGGGTTGCGCAGTCTGAAACTCGGATTTTTGTTTTACGCTGTCGTTACGGGAACTAACGGCCGCGAGCAGTTTAGCTCTTAAACGAATTAGTTTAAATGATAATCAATTTCAATGCTAATAACGCACTAATGTATGCACGAGCACAGAAATATGCTTGCATACCTGCTCACGTATATATAAGAATGTGCGCGCACACGCACACGAGAAGCGCTGTGTGACCACTGGAATAGAACCACAGATGATTGTCTATAGTCTATACCATGCTGCAGTGATATATACTACTAATTGAACAGTGAAGACAAGTATTATCATTCGCACAGTATTAATACTTAGTTCGTTTTATAGGAAATGATTACGGAACCCTGCAGCTAAACGGTGAGAAATGGCGACCTTTTTGGTGGTACGAAGCAAAGAGTGGGTGGCCGAAGGATGCTACTGATGTCTTAGGAGGTAAATATCACGACTACTATACATACGCTGAACGTATATATATATACATAATTATATCATTTATGTGTGTGTGCGAAAATATTGTTTAACTGTTTATTACACCTATTATAACAATCACAAGTCTATGATGAAGGTGGTGGTGATATAAATAGTAAACATACCAATATCAACCAAAACAGCAGCAACAATAACACAGTAATGATTGTCATTATTACTATCGGTAACGTGACTACGAAAAGCTAGCATGCGCAGTTTTCATGATTCACCATCAGAAGTAAAATACTGTCATGCACCAGGGGGCTTCTGGCTGATAACGTGCATACCGTTAACAGTCCTTTGCTTCAGTACTATAAATCGATCAAAGAAAATATATTGATGTCTTTTCTATATTTGTTTTCATGTACTGCAGGCGTGTATGGATCGTGTAACCCAGACAGCACATATTGCTTCGGACGGTTACCCGAGAAGTTACTAGAAAATTCAACACAGCTTTTAGCGAGAGATTCTCGCGGGAATGCGTTCAGGTGAGAGTTGTTTTTGGTAGCGAGGCTCGTCGGAGAACAAGCGGTTACTATAATGACTGCAGACCACCGTAGACGTTAAAAAATCCGACAGTTACGTGATTGCAAAATTTCACGTACGTTACGTTGAAAGCATATGTCACGTGACTGAAAATAGCGCATAATTATGTTTGTTATTGTTATTACGCTGAAACGAAATAATATCACGATCTATTTGTGATTATTGATCTTTGGCCCTCGGCGAAATTTCCTTTACATTATTTTCTTTGGTAGGTGGTCATTTAATCCGGCGAACGCCCTCGCGCATGCGGCATGGCAGGCCTTCCACGACCAGAAGTTAGTGACTGTGCAGGACGCAGCCGTGTGGCCTCACCAGACCCTGTCTGGTAGGAGCTGTGCAACGTTTTCGCGCGAACACTTAATGAAATTTACTAATTAATTTAACTAACTGCACAATCGAGAAAGATATAGCAAACTATAGTTTCACGTAATAGGGAACATGTTACTGATTACTCCAGTATAAAAATTACCATGAGCATATGCTGTTATAGTATATAAAATAGCAGCCACATTATCGTATAGAGAGAATTCGCCTGAAATCGGTAACCACCCGACAAAATTGCATCTCATTGAATGACGTAGTGGTTCTAAACTGGTACAAAATCTCTATTTCTTAATTCAAGTTACCATGTCAAAATACAGTTACAGGGTCTCTTGAGAAAATCGGCATCATCAAGTAACCGTAAACTAACGGATTTGAATCATTGTATATTTTTGTGAAAATAACGGTCTACGAGTGGTCTAAGCCATTTGAGCCCTTCTTAAGACACTTGCTGTTACGCAATCAATACCAGTAAGTTCGGTTGTGGTCGGTAAAGTACGAGAACGTTCAGGAAGACTGTTTGAAATACTTGCTTTAACACGAACGACGCGACGCGAGATAACCTATGAATACACGCAATGAAACGAGAATACACACAACTATGATGTTTAGATATTGATGTTTAGAATATAGATGTATACATAAATAGACTCCCCACAAGACCACTATGGATCTATGCTGTGATGTATCAACCATGAACCTAAACTAACCAATATGTAATCAAGAGCTTATAATACCTAGGTATTATAAGCTCTTGATGTAAACACATTCACATGCGTGCATTCAGGTCCAGGTAGATCATCGAGGGCGCGCATAGACTCGTTCGCCTACCACATGTCGAACGGCGTCAAGTCGCTGATCCTTGACGACGACCTGTGCGGCTGCAACACGCTGCTCTTCGTCGGCAGCTCGATGTGCCTCATCCACACCGATCGCTACAAGGTACGTCACGACCTGGCCGGCGTCGGCTCGCTGACGACGACCGGATGTGACGCAGACGAACCGAGTCCCGCTAACGGTCTCGTGCTCTTCTTCAACGGTAAGTGCGAACGCCAATCGATGACCTTTGTTAGCCGTGTAATGAGTGGAGAAAAAACGCGCCTGCCGATTTTTCGAGGTATTTCAATGTGCTTTCGCATTAAACTGCGCAAACGATGTGGGGATCAGTTGTCACTGTGCCAAAATCTATATAGGGCTCCGTCTCTCCTTACCTTACCTTTCTACGCTCATTCCCTTTTTTCTATAGCTCTCTCTTTCTCTGCCTATCATCTCATTTCTGCATCGCCTTTGCTCCCTCTTCGCTTCTTTCTCTCTCTCCCCATCACTTTCTATCGTTCTTGCCATTTCACGTGCGAATATGAGCGTAGCGTATTTACTTATACAAGTTTACAAGCAGCGTATGTTATACGTATAATATTCGATGTGCGTTCACGCAGACAATGCTCGTACGACGGAGGATCTCACAACGACGGTCGCTCCAACAACGGCGCGTACAACGGTGCGTACAACAACGACGACGACGAAGCGATCACGGAAAGCGACCCCTCGCCCAGAGCATTCCTACAATGAAAGACACGATACCGGAATCATCAAAGCTAGCGAGGAGCCTACCGATGACTCGGACGTCGTCGTGAGAATCGAGGGCGATAGCGTCGTCGCAACCGTCAGGGGCGATAGGCGCTCATCGTTGCTGGCGCCGAGATTGGCCAACCCTCTTTCAGCGACAGAGGAGGACAATCCAGCCGGAGCAGCTGCAACAGAAGATAATAGGGCAACGGACAAAGAAAGGACAGCAAAGAAGAGAATGGAAGAGGAAGCAGAGGCAGCCGAGGAAGAAAAAAAGAGGATGGAAGAGGAAGCAGCAGCAGCCGAGGAAGAAAAAAAGAGGATGGAAGAGGAAGCAGCAGCAGCCGAGGAAGAAAAAAAGAGGTAAAAAAAGAGGATGGAAGAGGAAGCAGCAGCAGCCGAGGAAAAAAAAAAGAGGATGGAAGAGGAAGCAGCAGCAGCCGAGGAAGAAAAAAAGAGGGTTGCAGAGGAGATTAGAGCAGCTGCAGCAGAAAAGAAAAGGATTGAAGAGGAAGCAAAAGCAGCAGCAGCGGAAGAAAAGAAGAAGGCAGAAGAGAATGAGGCTAAGGCAGCGGCAGCTGAACGGAAAGCCAGAAGAAGAGCAATTAGAGATGAGCAGGTACGACGTAAGCTTGGACTTTACCGACCCGGAGACCCTCGGTTGCGAGGCTTTGGCCCGGGTGGGCCTCTAAGAGCTTCAGGGTATGGCGAGTTATCACAGAATCCGGATTTCGGCGCTCACCCACAGCAGGCTCGAATATCCGATAGCAATCTGCAGTCTTCCACTGAGTATGGCGGCTATCCGGCTCAAGCATATGAAGGACAGGCGGGATACGCCGGTGGCCAGCGCCGCATCCGATATCCGCTTACAAGAAGTGGAGATGTTGCGGCCGGGAGGGGATTTGGAGCCGGATTGACTCCCATAGGGGCACCCGAGAGATACCTTCCACCACGAGATGCTGGATATTCGAATCAATATAGGTCACCACCTCCTCGCTTTGCCCCTCCTGTACAATACGGCTTGGTGAAGGTCACTGCCGATGACGACGCAGAAGAACCAGGGATAGAAGAACTGCGAGATAGAGATCTGCGTTACGAAGGGTTTCTAAGAGATGAAAGAGGTGGGCACTACAGGCAACAACCATCATACGGAGCAGCGCCTAGCTATGCTGGAGCATCAGCGTACGGCGCGCCACCTACCGGCTTCTACGGCCCTCCACCTACTCATCGCGGCTTCGAGAGGGTTAGAAGTAAATAACCACATAGGGACGTCGATGATCGCATGAAGTAGGTTTGTAAATTCAATAACCACTGCGTTTCACTAATGGGAATAGCCAACATATAGTCCATTTCGATTTCAGCCGCTGTAATATGACACTATATCCGTATAGACATACTATCAGGAGTTAATCAAGACAAATTTTGTCTTTATTAACTCCTGATGGTATGTCCTTCTTACTGACGTAAAATATTTATACTCAGCGGTGAAATGCTATAATCTGCAAGTATTTATCCACAAGTAATTTATGATCATTTCTGCTGCGTATTTGCACTTGTACATAAATTTATTTTTCGTGATAATATATTCCAAATCGACCATAGTTAAGTAAATAAACCTTAAATTCTGGACGCGGGATTAATACGTAAACGTTTCGATAAACTGTACGGGTTGTTTAAATATTTTAATGTTCGAATATTTAAATATTTGAAGTTTCGGATTGACTTTACAGACCCATTAAGGTAATTACATCGTAATGTAAACCAGCAGTCGTAATCAAGAGCTTTTCATAGGAAGCTCTATGGTAACTATGGTAACTAGGTAATTACAAGGATAGTATGTTTGGACGACGAGGGAATTGGGGGCTACCATTAGAGGTTATAATAGATTTGGGATATTACACATCTTAGCAATGAAACTTTCTTTGCGTTATTGTCATCTTCATAAATATAATTACATTTAATATGTGCCTCTATAGGTAACTTGAAATACTCACGTATTTGTATATAGTTTTCATCACCGTAACACTTTCGTGCGATTACTCATTCGGTTTAAAATAGATCATACTTTTCATTATTGTGCGTATTGCTATGTTAATTACAACGTGCAAATAAAACGAATTTCCGTTATGTACAAAATATATAACAAACTAATAAGCCATTGTCTTTGTTCCTGATATCTTTTGCTTTCGTCTTATTTTTATTTATGTGCCTTTCCAAAATTTTTTTTAGTATAAGTTCAGTTACTGTACCATACCAAATACCAAAATTTTGCTGTTATTATTGAGAAATTCTAAAACGTACAACGCATACAGGCGTTTGCGTCCGTGACGAAAAAAACAAGAGTTACTCGTAGAGCTCAGAGCTTCTTTTCAAGGTCGGCCAGAAACTGGAATCGCTGCCCACTGAAGATCGCTCAAACAGACGCCGCAATGAGTGCGGCCATGGCCGTAAGGTGTTTTAGCGAAATAAAAAATAGGAACAACGATATATCTCCCCACGTTTAATTAATCAAATTTATCATCTCGTATATAAGCGATGTGTGTGTTGTACATGAGCACGCCTGCCCCTGTGTTTGTGCGTTTGTGCTGACGCACGATTTCGTTTTGGCGGGGTCACATGTGCGCGTATGTGTGTTTACTCGTGTAAAGCCTGCTTAATGGGACATACAACAGTAGCTTACGCCAATTGTTCACTAAAAAAGTAATTGTTTTTTATTAAGGCGTTTGCTTTATTAAGGTATTGTTATTTAAAGGGAAAATTATGCCCACCTGGCAAGTGGCAAGCATGCATGAAGGCTTGATTATCTCTGGACATGCGAAACCTATGCAAATACTTACCCAGGGAACACGATATCGAATAAAAATTGTTAAAAAAATAGTTGAATTCATGCAGATGCGAATAAAACAAATAAAGCAGAAATTTCGTAATATTATTTGTTTACTAATCATACCAACGATGCACACACATATACACGCTAATACGAGCATCTTCGTAGCGCGTTGAAACACTACCGTTAAAAACGGACGTTGGTTCACTAACGTTGGAAAGTACCCACTAGCTTTTAAGACTCGTCAAAAATAAAAGCACCAGTATGTAAGGACAGCTGAAAAAGCTATTATAATAAACGGCAATATTGCGTCACTATCTAATCGTCCGCTCATAATTATCAACATTATCACTAGCGTGAAAAGACGCTCTCCTTGTCCCCGAAACTGTACAAATCAAAATGATTTATTTTTCAGATTTGGCGATGCTTGGGTATTATACAGACTATATATTTTGTTATAACTCTCTTCATCCCATGAAAGCATGTAAATCAAATGGTAATTTCGTAGATTTTACTATGCCTCTTGGGTATATAGACTGTGAATATTTTCACAAATCCCCTCGTTGCCCAGAAAGTGTACAGAGTTAAACGATAACTTTCAAATTTGGCGATGCATTTGTCAAGTGGTTGACGTTCAATAGTGTTGGTTTCCATATCTTATCGAAGCGTATGTGTCATCTAGCCTGTTCGTAAGGCGTTCTCTACGGTCGGAGTACGTGTAAAATTGACGTCCACGGTTAGGCGCATTTGCTTCCTGTGAGTCATAAACAGGTTGTTTATCTACGTACAGACGACCGTGTACACCATCATTATTATAGCGGGATACTTTTTGTGAAGAGATCTGTTCATATTTTCCCCGCGAGAAATAGGCAGGTTGTCTATCTACGTACGGACGATCGTGCTCATCATTCTTATTATAGGGAGGGGCTTCGTCTGAGTAGCTGTGTTCATATGTTTCCCGCGAATAATAAGCAGATGGTCTAGTTATATATGGACGGATTAGGCCCTTTTCATGACGGGAATGATATCTGAGATGATCGTATATAGGTACGGCAACTCTAATATTATAGTCGGATTCATAACCAGACGATGATTTAGAGGTAGTGGTTGCAGCTGTAGTGGAAGGATCAGTCGCAACTGTAGTGGAAGGATCTGTCGCAACTGTAGTGGAAGGATCAGTCGCAACTGTAGTGGAAGGATCAGTCGCAACTGTAGTGGAAGGATCAGTCGCAACTGTAGTGGAAGGATCAGTCGCAACTGTAGTGGAAGGATCAGTCGCAACTGTAGTGGAAGGATCAGTCGCAACTGTAGTGGAAGGATCCGTCGCAACTGTAGTGGAAGGATCAGTCGCAGCTGTAGTGGAGGGATCAGTCGCAACTGTAGTGGAAGGATCAGTCGCAACTGTAGTGGAAGGATCAGTCGCAACTGTAGTGGAAGGATCCGTCGCAACTGTAGTGGAAGGATCAGTCGCAGCTGTAGTGGAAGGATCAGTCGCAACTGTAGTGGAAGGATCAGTCGCAACGGTAGTGGAAGGATCAGTCGCAACTGTAGTGGAAGGATCCGTCGCAACTGTAGTGGAAGGATCCGTCGCAGCTGTAGTGGAAGGATCTGTCGCAACTGTAGTGGAAGGATCCGTCGCAGGCGACTGATCCTTCCACTACAGAACTGTAGTGGAAGGATCAGTCGCAGCTGTAGTGGAAGGATCCGTCGCAGCTGTAGTAGAAGGATCCGTCGCAGCTGTAGTGGAAGGATCAGTCGCAACTGTAGTGGAAGGATCAGTCGCAGCTGTAGTGGAAGGATCCGTCGCAGCTGTAGTGGAAGGAGCCCTCGAAACTGCAAGTGGAAGGATCAGTCGCAGCTGTAGTGGAAGGATCAGTCGCAGCTGTAGTGGAAGGATCAGTCGCAACTGTAGTGAAAGGATCAGTCGCAGCTGTAGTGGAAGGATCAGTCGCAGCTGTAGTGGAAGGATCAGTCGCAGCTGTAGTGGAAGGATCCGTCGCAGCTGTAGTAGAAGAATCAGTCGCACTCGTGGAAGAATCAGTTGCACTCGTGGAAGAATCAGTGGACCCGTCCTGAAGCACAATATTTTCCGAATCGCTTGAAATGGATGGCGTTGTCATAAGCAATAAATGCTCGGCAGTGAAATCAATTGAATCAGTTATGAGATTAATTCTTGCTGCTCCTGATTCAAAAAGCGTCCTCTTTCCTCTCGAAGCTGATCCAAATTCGTCATCAAAGGTATCGCTGCTACCGCCGTCCAAATCATCTGTAAATACAGATCGATGACAGACAATGATTTTCATACAAACACTGGATTGCGGGCTGCCTAATAAAGGTAAATATCGTTTTTGTAATCTGAAATATATGAACATATAGATGTAAACGCATTTTATTATAAACACTAGGAAAGTTTAATAAATGAGATAATGCATCAATTATTTAATTTGTTAGAAATTGCATTTATTCGTCGCAATGCGGTTGGAAACATACTATATATGAGCGTGCGCTTATTTAATGTATTTACGTACCATTATTGCTATGTGCGCATAGCAACAGTGATGACAACGTCAATAGTATGATCGCCGTACCTTTTCCCATATTGACCGCTCTGTAACACAATTAATTATTTTAGTAATATAAAGCAAAGCTTTATACTATTAGTGTACAGTTAGTTGTTTCGAGAGGAATGCCCCTTATTTATAATGCTATTGCTTATATCCCACATGCTACTGCATGTCGAATATATATATATATATATATATATATATGTATATATATATATATGTATATATATATATAATATATATATATATATATATATATATATATATATGGTATACTATATACGATATGCTATATAGTACTATATATATATACTATATATACTATGTACTATATGCTATTTAGTGCATCACGTGATAAATCGTTGAAATTCTATTGGATAACGCAGCAGGCACTATGAAGCAATAGTGCCCGCCGCGACGCATTGTTATTATAACGCATTGTGTTCACGTCACGAATTCTCCTGGCGTCTGGGCGCCACGCAAGAGTTTCGAACGGCGGTTGTGTTCGTGTGAACGTTTTTTACATCGAATGCACCGGCAAATTAGGAGTATAAAGAAGGTATATAAGCATGAAAAGTAGATTGGCATAGTCATGTGATGCACTAAAAACATTAATCACCTGCTCGCTACCGCTCGGGCACTATACCTTCCCTCAGCAACACTATGAGAACATAGTGCCCCCAACAACAGGCATTAATATATAAATACTATATACTATATACTATATACTATATACTATATACTATATACTATATACTATATACTATATACTATATACTATATACTATATACTATATGCTCTATTATACTATATACTATATACTATATACTATATACTATATACTATATACCATATACCATATACTATATACTATATACTTTATACTATAAACTATTTGCTATATACTATGTACTATGCTGCTAATATGTGCATACCAAATATATCGCTGTGTGACATATGAGGACCGTTTGCATACGAATAGTGATTTTCGTGAAAACCGCTTATGTATTAATTGCAGAATTGCTTTTAATCCAGAACATGTTGACTAATAATACAGAAAAACTGTTTCCTGCCCACATAGACGGGCGGATTTAACGCTTACTCATTAAATACAATAAATATATTACGAGAAAATAAACCCCTAGCCGTTTATAGTAGAAAATCGCAACTATTTGCAATATTTTAAGAGTCTATGGATGGCAAAGTATGGGTAATAATAAAACGAATAGTATTGGAGCATTCAGCGAGTGAGCCCTGAGACATCTTTGGCAAACTTCGAGTCAGACAGGTAGCAGGACAAAGCGTCCGTTTAATATACTCACAATGAATAGGCGCACGATCATTTCTGGATAAATTATAATTTCAGGAAACCATAATAATGTGTATGTTAGTATGTTGAGTATATTCCAGTTGCTGTGCATGTGGTTACTTACACTTTAAGATTATCGCGAAAACCACATACATAAACGCAATTGTGCAGTTGCTATTATAGAACAAGATTAGAACCACCAGAAGATTTTCAATTGCAAGTTCAACATTTCTTGGGCTGATTTCACTAAAAGACGTTTATAGAATGTTGCCATTTACAAGGATAAGCTCATTGCAGGTGCGCAGACACTAATATATCTACGGATATTTCGATTTGTGACAACGAAAAGATACATATAGTTTCAAGTATTGCCATGTCGTTCTCATTCACAAATATAAAGAACAATTCTTATAATGCAATTTTATCATGGAAATTGGACTTTCAGTCTGCTTCGCCATGCACAACCCTACGCCTATTTGTACAATAATAAATGTAATGTACACAAAATTAACCACCTATTTATAATTCTATACATTACATATTATATACGATGACTTACCTGGAATATCACGACACACACTCTCTCCCACACACACCGGGGTTGCAACCTGCGACGAGATATGGTAGCGCGGATAACGTCGGTTTGAACGCAGCGGCAGTATTGCACACCGTCTAGCAGCGGTCATGCCAGCGCTGCCGCTACCCATGTCTGCACAAGGTGAAACGCCCACAAGACAGGACACCACACGACAAGTTTAAGGTGGGGAGGGGAATCCCCGATGGATTCGAACACGTCCCTCATTGTGTCAGGTTACTGATCTCAAAACCACCGTGCACTGTAATGTGACGAACCAGGTTGTCAGCTTGTTTGTTACGCAATGATGCAAATGTTCGGAATCGAAGAAATCAAAGGCTCTAACTTGGAGGACTGATAGGACTGCGGAAGTTAATGTAAGATATGACCTTCATCTGCCTTCTGATCGCTGCGGTGCGGGGCTGTAGTCAGACCATGGAAATCATCGACCCATTCTGATCTATAAGTATAGGTCAGAATAAGACAATGCCGGTGAAATGAATCCCCGCCATATCTATGGATTCAAGTTAAGAAAAAAAACTCAACTTGTTGTTGAACCACACACACGCGCAAGTAGTGTAAAACCGTCTTAAAAATTGCACGAACAACAAATGTTGGCGCCTAGAATTAGAATTGCTGATATTAAACGACCCGGATCTTAGCTGTGTATAAGGTTTCTGCCAAGGAAACCCCATGTACTAGGTATCACTGAGGCAAGGCAGAAACGGATGTCACATGAGCGAGCATGTCATATCATTTGTGTGTGTATGCGTGTTGTGTGTGTGTGTGTGTGTGTGTGTGTGTGTGTGTGTGTGTGTGTGTGTGCGTCGTGTGTGTATGTGTGTGTGTGTGTGTGTTGTGTGTGCATGCGTGCGTGCGTGCGTGCGTGCGTGCGCGTGTATGTACATGAGCGTGGACGTGTTTGACGTAGGTACGACGAGTAATTCATGTATTGTTCTGTATGTTATCTTGATATTCATACTAATGCGTATATAAATGCCTAGTAAGTACTACCAACTATGCAAAACAATGTAATTAACATATTATGCGTATATATACATTGCATTTATAATACACTGCTACTTCGTTGCACAGATTTCGCTACCGACTAGCACTAGCAGAACTTTCTGACATAGCTGCAATAAAACCTAGAATTCGTGTCAACAGAGGTTTAAGGAAATGAATAAACTCTCGCGTGGCATATATTGTTGGCATCACGTAGAATTCGTGTCAACAGAGTTTAAGGAAAAGGAATAACTCTCGCGTGGCAATATTGTTGGCATCACGTAGAATTCGTGTCAACAGAGGTTAAGAAAGAAATAACTCGCGTGGCATATATTGTTAGCATCATGTCGAATTCGTGTCAACAGAGTTTAAGGAAAAGGAATAACTCTCGCGTGGCATATATTGTTGGCATCACGTCGAATTCGTGTCAACAGAGTTTAAGGAAAAGGAATAACTCTCGCGTGGCATATATTGTTGGCATCACGTCGAATTCGTGTCAACAGAGTTTAAGAAAAGGAATAACTCTCACGTGGCATATATTGTTGGCATCACGTAGAATTCGTGTTAACAGTGTTTAAGTAAAAGAATAACTCTCGCGTGGCATATATTGTTGGCATCACGTCGAATTCGTTGTCAACAGAGTTTAAGGAAAAGGAATAACTCTCACGTGGCATATATTGTTGGCATCACGTAGAAGGTGTCAACAGAGTTTAGGAAAAGGAATAACTCTCGCGTGGCATATATTGTTGGCATCACGTAGAATTCGTGTCAACAGAGTTTAAGGAAAAGGAATAACTCTCGCGTGAGTTATATATTGTTGGCATCACGTAGAATTCGTGTCAACAGAGTTTAAGGAAAAGGAATAACTCTCGCGTGGCATATATTGTTGGCATCACGTCGAATTCGTGTCAACAGAGTTTAAGGAAAAGGAATAACTCTCGCGTGGCATATATTGTTGGCATCACGTAGAATTCGTGTCAACAGAGTTTAAGTAAAAGGAATAACTCTCGCGTGGCATATATTGTTGGCATCACGTAGAATTCGTGTCAACAGAGTTTAAGCAAAAAAGTGATATAACTCTCGCGTGAGTTATATTTCTGGCATCACGTGAGAGCGATGGAGCGCGGAATGGAGGTTACCTGTCTGACTAGAGTCGCTACAGCAATGCGCGTAATCAGTGAAGCGTGGTGTGTGCAGAACAGTAGACGATGGCGGACGGTCGGCCACTGCAAGAGCGCTAGAACGTGAGTACATATATTACGCAACAAATTTCTAGCAATGACTGTCTACGATTATCCAGTTATATGAATAGTATACCGGCTAGCTTCGCCTTATATATTAGGCAAAAATCATCACGGCATACACTGAATAGGAAGCATTTAGCAGAGGTAGTACGTTGCACATACCAATAACAGATCGTGTGTTATGCAATATATTTACTTCCCATTTGAATAAGTGTGTGATATTCAGTACGGACAAGAACCCGTGTCTAACAGTCATTCAGATAGCGCTAGTGAATACGCTGCGGGTGCATGTGTACACGCGGCGCATGCGTGCGTGTGCGTGCGCGCGCCGTGTGTGAAGATGAGTTGTACGTGTGTGTGTGTGTGTGGTGTGGTGTTGTGTGTGTGTGGTTGTGTGGTGTGTGTGTGTGTGTTGTGTGGTGTGTGTGTGTGTGTGTGTGTGTGTGTGTGTGTGTGTGTGTGTGTGTGTGTGTGTGTGTGTGTGTGTGTGGTGTGTGTGTGTGTGTGGTGTGGTGTGTGGTGTGTGTGTGTGTGTGTGTGTGCTGTGTGTGTGCTGTGTGTGTGCTGTGTGTGTGTGTGCTGTGTGTGTGCGGTGTGTGTGGTGTGTGGTGTGTGTGTGTGTGTGTGTGTGTGTGTGTGTGTGTGTGTGTGTGTGTGTGTGTGGATGTCTTCAAAAGGTCATGTGATCAATAATAGAGCGCAGTTGGACGTCACCGGATTCTTCGATTCCATAATAGAGTACACCCATGGGTTACCCTCTGAAATTTGTTCTCGGAGTATTGCACATATATGTAGATTTAGTCTCTCTCTGTCACGTGTTTGCTTACACTTACCATCGCAAAATCTGCGTGATTTGCTAACAGTTCACTCATCGTCGTCCCCAGCAAAATGAAAATTCGGCAAGGCAGTTTGTAATTGCACGTACCACGTATATAACGGCCTGAAGCCAGTCGGTGTTGAAGGAACCGCCACTATGAGGGTTGGTGGTTAGTACGGTGTCTGTAGAAGTGGTGATGTCTCCGATGTAGAATACGTTACAGCTCGCATGCTACAGACAGCTCCAGATAATAGGTGTGTGATGGTGTGCCTTGGTGTGTGTGATGTGTGAGTGTGTGTGTGTGTGTGTGTGTGTGTGTGTGTGTGTGTGTGTGTGTGTGTGTGTGTGTGCGTGTGTGGTGTATGTATAATGTACGTCATTGCGTGCATGGGGTTATGTGGGTGAGTGCGCGATTACTAGGTGTAAAGACGAATGCGCAGTCAATCATGTGTAGACATGTAGTCTTGCAAATCTGTAGTGATCTGAAAGAGAGTCGAATATAAAGTATGCAGATATAATACTGTCAGATAGATTGTCATAATAGCACAAGCCACCAGGGCCGTAGCTAGCAGGGAGGCAGGGGGGAGGGGGGCAGCTGCCCCCGCCAAAAAAAATGGCGAGGAAGACTAACCAGAACCCAGACAAGACTAATGGGAACAGAAAATACTCGCTTAACCGTTTGGGGAGTTTCAGGTATGTAACCTACCTGAAATGGCTGGAAATGGCATTTCAGAGCGTCTACATTAAAAAATTTCCTGGGTGGGCATGCCCCCATACCCCCCTCGAAGCGAGCGCCTCCGACGCTCGTTCATCTTGTCCCCCCCCATACATTAATTCCTAGCTACGGCCCTGGCCAGTCTTCTCGATTTATAGGTTGCCCTCGTCTCGATGCGAGATTTATAAGCAATTGCATACTATTACACTGCAGATAATAGCAAAAAAGTGACCTACGTTGTTAGTTATTATTCATTTTACGGTTTGCACACGTTTAAACTACTTTCCGCTTTCATCATTAAGTGATTTGTATCTCTTGTTATCAAACGGTGCTGCGGCTCGATGAACTGGCGAATTGAAATTGTCGTGAAACAAAAAAGAAGAATTATGGGCCTTGTTACTCTTAGAAGTTCGCCAGTAAATTCGGAAAATGTGATAGTGTGATAGATGATAAAGTGTCAAAGATAATGTGACGTAGATAAATATATTGTCATCGGAGCTGTCGTCGCGGGTGTTGGCGGGCTTTGTTAACTCTTCTTGAAACCGTGTCACGCATTCTTACTGTCCGCAAGCGGACTCAATTACCCCCCCCCCGCCACACTACCTTTTCCTGACGTTAAAGTCTCTTATGAGCCAGGCAGACTGCGATTTCGCAAATCGTAGTACGAAAATCGCTCGCGGGTGCGCTTCCAAATAGTACATACAGTCCGCGCATTTTCACCGCGAGCATGATCAGTGCTCATTCTAACCGCTCAACAATGGTGAAACGGAACCAAGGCCACCGTACGGAACCAAGGCTAGCATGGGAATTTAGAGCCTTATTCACTAGCTAACGTCGCTCATACATATCTCCATGTAAATCGACTCGGCTCGTCGAAATCGGCGAAATCGGCTCGTCAGCGCGTCTGCCAAAACGGGCTAAATAGAGTAAGACAATGCTATAGAAACGACGAAGAATAAAAGTGCTACGGCGCAAATGAACGAATTGTACCCTGCATTATATCCATACGACTACCCAACGCAGAATTTAATTTTTTACAATGCTATATTACCATGAAACACTTGCAATGCAACGTCGAAGACCCGGAGTAAAACGCACAAGACTAAGAATACAACGTATGAGACATAGAATAAGGCGCGTAAGGCCTAAATTGTAGCGTATATAGGACATAGAAACGCAACGCATAGGAGGTGTAGTACAACGTAGGAGAAGCAATAGTAACTGTCTGTCGTAGCAGAGATCGAAAGCGCGACCTCGTTCCCACCGTGTGCATTCGAGCGTACCTAACTCTGCGAGCATCTAGTTGCGGCAGGGTCCATCGCCGCCTGTTCCACCTCGTATCAGCATGGCCCAGTAAGGATGTCGGCGTAATCACACGCACTAGTCCGTTACGAGTCCATGGTTAGAGTGTCTGTAAAACTCCGCGTCTCTTGCAAATGTGGCCACACTCGAAACTGATCCTTTCAACACCTATAAGTAGCAATCGTCTCGCCGTATACGCTACAGTTCGTGTGTTTTACTGAAGAATTTGATTGCTATCACAGGAGGCTGTATTCGGGGAGCGGACAAGACTCGGGAATATGTTGGCATGCGTTAATTCTATGATTCGTAAGTGTGTATAACTTCAGGGAGTCTATAATAGGTAATATAATTCTATAATTCTATAATTCTATAGGTTCTATAATTCTCTGTAGTGCATGTGTACAACCAGGTTGCAAGGTGGCGCTAGTAGTGCAATCATTTCACTTTTAGAGTAGAGTGGCACCTCCCCCTATAACCTAAACTCGATCCCGGATAACATTCACGCTATATGGCGTCTTTATTTGCCAATGGCTGGTAATAATTGTGATCGTAACTGGTGGAAAAATGTTACATTGTAATAACCATGATAGAGCAAACCACGTAGGTCATAATCCGATAATTGTTACACTAGTCGAGTATTATTTTCATCGTGGTAGGAGGACGAAAAATTACACTCATGTGTAATTTCTCTCGTTAAAAGCATGTGAAACTACCAAGGCAACGTCTAACGATCGAGGTGTCTGTTATTTTTTTCGTGTACGCGATTATCACAAAGCAATTGAACTGATGGGTTACGGGCTCGAGGCATACGCGCGCATATCACATCCTTACTATAAAGAGGCTAATCTTGTGTGTGTTTGTTTGACCTCGCTTTTCTCCGTGATGTTTCACTCAATCGCGGTAACTGAAGATATATTCAGAATCACCACGTCTTGCAAATGGTTCTGGCTGAGACAAAAATTTAAAACAGTTAAAAAGAAAAAAAAAGTGTATTAAGTCAAAATTCTATCATCACGTACGTCGGAATTATTGCGCGTTACCATATACCATATACTATATACTATATACTTTATACTATAAACTATTTGCTATATACTATGTACTATGTGCTAAATATGTGCATACCAAATATATCGCTGTGTGACATATGAGGACCGTTTGCATTACGAATAGTGATTTTCGTGAAAACCGCTTATGTATTTAATTGCAGAATTGCTTTTAATCCAGAACATGTTGACTAATAATACAGAAAAACTTTTCCTGCCACATAGACGGGCGGATTTAACGCTTACTCATTAAATACAATAAATATATTACGAGAAAATAAACCCCTAGCCGTTTATAGTAAGAAAATCGCAACTATTTGCAATATTTTAAGAGTCTATGATGGCAAAGTATGGGTAATAATTAAAACGAATAGTATTGGACATTTCAGCGAGTGAGCCCTGAGACATCTTTGGCAAACTTCGAGTCAGACAAGGTAGCAGGACAAAGCGTCCGTTTAATATACTCACAATGAATAGGCGCACGATCATTTCTGTATAAATTATAATTTCAGGAACCATAATAATGTGTATGTTAGTATGTTGAGTATATTCCAGTTGCTGTGCATGTGGTTACTTACACTTTAAGATTATGCGAAAACCACATACATAAACGCAATTGTGCAGTTGCTATTATAGAACAAGATAGAACCCACCAGAAGATTTTCAATTGCAAGTTCAACATTTCTTGGGCTGATTTCACTAAAAGACGTTTATAGAATGTTGCCATTTACAAGGATAAGCTCATTGCAGGTGCGCAGACACTAATATATCTACGGATATTTTCGATTTGTGACAACGAAAAGATACATATAGTTTCAAGTATTGCCATGTCGTTCTCATTCACAAATATAAAGAACAATTCTTATAATGCAATTTTATCATGGAAATTGGACTTTCAGTCTGCTTCGCCATGCACAACCCTACGCCTATTTGTACAATAATAAATGTAATGTACACAAAATTAACCACCTATTTATAATTCTATACATTACATATTATATACGATGACTTACCTGGAATATCACGACACACACTCTCTCCCACACACACCGGGGTTGCAACCTGCGACGAGATATGGTAGCGCGGATAACGTCGGTTTGAACGCAGCGGCAGTATTGTCACACCGTCTAGCAGCGGGTCATGCCAGCGCTGCCGCTACCCATGTCTGCACAAGAGTGAAACGCCCACAAGACAGGACACACACGACAAGTTTAAGGTGGGGAGGGGAATCCCCGATGGATTCGAACACGTCCCTCATTGTGTCAGGTTACTGATCTCAAAACCACCGTGCACTGTAATGTGACGAACCAGGTTGTCAGCTTGTTTGTTACGCAATGATGCAAATGTTCGGAATCGAAGAAATCAATAGGCTCTAACTTGGAGGACTGATAGGACTGCGGAAGTTAATGTAAGATATGACCTTCATCTGCCTTCTGATCGCTGCGGTGCGGGGCTGTAGTCAGACCATGGAAATCATCGACCCATCTGATCTATAAGTATAGGTCTAGAATAAGACAATGCCGGTGAAATGAATCCCCGCCATATCTATTGGATTCAAGTTAAGAAAAAAAACTCGACTTGTTGTTGAACCACACACACGCGCAAGTAGTGTAAAACCGTCTTAAAAATTGCACGAACAACAAATGTTGGCGCCTAGAATTAGAATTGCTGATATTAAACGACCCGGATCTAGCTGTGTATAAGGTTTCTGCCAAGGAAACCCCATGTACTAGGTATCACTGAGGCAAGGCAGAAACGGATGTCACATGAGCGAGCATGTCATATCATTGTGTGTGTATGCGTGTGTGTGTGTGTGTGTGTGTGTGTGCTGTCGGGTGTGGGCTGGTGCTGTGCGAGTGTATGTGGTAATGTGTGTGTGTGTGTGTGTGTGCGTGTGTGTTTCTGGATGCGTGCGTGCGGTGCGTGCGTGCGCGTGTATGTACATGAGCGTGACGTGTTTGACGTAGGTACGACGAGTAATTCATGTATGTTTCTGTATGTTATCTTGATATTCATACTAATGCGTATATAAATGCCTAGTAAGTACTACCAACTATGCAAAACAATGTAATTAACATATTATGCGTATATATTACATTGCATTTATAATACACTGCTACTTTCGTTGCACAGATTTCGCTACCGACTAGCACTAGCAGAACTTTCTGACATAGCTGCAATAAAACCTAGAATTCGTGTCAACAGAGTTTAAGGAAAATGAATAACTCTCGCGTGGCATATATTGTTGGCATCACGTAGAATTCGTGTCAACAGAGTTTAAGGAAAAGGAATAACTCTCGCGTGGCATATATTGTTGGCATCACGTAGAATTCGTGTCAACAGAGTTTAAGGAAAAGAAATAACTCGCGTGGCATATATTGTTAGCATCATGTCGAATTCGTGTCAACAGAGTTTAAGGAAAAGGAATAACTCTCGCGTGGAATATATTGTTGGCATCACGTCGAATTCGTGTCAACAGAGTTTAAGGAAAAGGAATAAAACTCTCGCGTGGCATATATTGTTGGCATCACGTCGAATTCGTGTCAACAGAGTTTAAGGAAAAGGAATAACTCTCACGTGGCATATATTGTTGGCATCACGTAGAATTCGTGTTAACAGTGTTTAAGTAAAAGGAATAACTCTCGCGTGGCATATATTGTTGGCATCACGTCGAATTCGTGTCAACAGAGTTTAAGGAAAAGGAATAACTCTCACGTGGCATATTGTTGGCATCACGTAGAATTGGTGTCAAACAGGAGTTTAGGAAAAAGGAATAACTCTCGCGTGGCATATTATTGTTGGCATCACGTAGAATTCGTGTCAACAGAGTTTAAGGAAAAGAAATAACTCTCGCCGTGAGTTATATATTGTTGGCCATCACGTAGAATTCGTGTGCAACAGAGTTTAAGGAAAAGGAATAACTCTCTCGCGTGGCATATATTGTTGGCATCACGTCGAATTCGTGTCAACAGAGTTTAAGCGAAAAGGAATAACTCTCGCGTGGCATATATTGTTGGCATCACGTAGAATTCGTGTCAACAGAGTTTAAGTAAAAGGAATAACTCTCGCGTGGCAATATATTGTTGGCATCACGTAGAATTCGTGTCAACAGAGTTTAAGAAAAAGTGATTAACTCTCGCGTGAGTTATATTTCTGGCATCACGTGAGAGCGATGGAGGCGCGAATGGAGGTTACCTGTCTGACTAGAGTCGCTACAGCACAATGCGCGTAATCAGTGAAGCGTGGTGTGTGCAGAACAGTAGACCGATGGCGGACGGTCGGCCACTGCAAGAGCGCTAGAACGTGAGTACATAGTATTACGCAACAAATTTCTCATGCAAGACTGTCTACGATTATCCAGTTATATGAATAGTATACCGGCTAGCTTCGCCTTATATATAGGCAAAATCATCACGGCATACACTGAATAGGAACATTTAGCAGAGGTAGCTACGTTGCACATACCAATAACAGATCGTGTGTTTGCAATATATTTACTTCCCATTTGAATAAGTGTGGTGATATTCAGTACGGACAAGAACCGTGTCTAACAGTCATTCAGATAGCGCTAGTGAATACGCTGCGGGTGCATGTGTACACGCGGCGCATGCGTGCGTGTGCGTGCGCGCGCGCGTGTGTGAAGAGATGAAGTTGTAGCGTGTGTGTGTGTGTGTGTGTGTGTGTTGTGTGTGTGTGTGTGTGTGTGTGTGTGTGTGTGTGTGTGTGTATGTGTGTGTGTGTGTGTGTGTGTGTGTGTGTGTGTGTGTGTGGTGTGTGTTGTGGGTGTGTGTGTGTGTGTGTGTGATGTGTTGGTGTGTGGTGTGTGTGTGTGTGTGTGTGTGCTGTGTGTGTTGCTGTGTGTGGGCTGTGTGTGTGTGTGCTGTGTGTGTGGGTGTGTGTGGTGTGTGGTGTGTGTGTGTGTGTTGTGTGTGTGTGTGTGTGTGTGTGTGTGTGTGTGTGTTGTGGATGTCTTCAAAAGGTCATGTGATCAATAATAGAGCGCAGTTGGACGTCACCGGATTCTTCGATTCCATAATAGAGTACAGACCCATGGGTTACCCTCTGAAATTTGTTCTCGGAGTATTGCACATATATGTAGATTTAGTCTCTCTGTCACGTGTTTGCTTACACTTACCATCGCAAAATCTGCGTGATTTGCTAACAGTTCACTCATCGTCGTCCCAGCAAAATGAAAATTCGGCAAGCAGTTTGTAATTGCACGTACCACGTATATAACGGCCTGAAGCCAGTCGGTGTTGA